AGAATAATTCCAGCTCCTTAACCTTACCCATACATAAACTGCTGATACTGTGAATGGACATGATGTGTGATCACTCGTGTTTATAGAAGTTCGTTTTCTCTTTTTATGAATTCATGGGGAAATTTACAAAAAAAAAGTTAACTCATGGGGAATATTTTTCTTTGTTTTCTTTTTTATAAACTCATGGGGAATATATAAAAAAAAACGTTTTATTTTTTGTGAACTCATGGGGAATATAAAAAAAAAGTTTTATTTTTTTGTGAACTTTATACCATTTTTTGTGTGTGAACTCATGGGGAGATAAACAAAATAAAATATCAACTCATGGAGGGAATACACACACAAAAAAAATCTTGTTCACTCTTTTTTTCTCCATCCTTTACAACGTTCATATCCCCTTAACCGATTTTCCAGACATTTCCCAACCCTCATTGTCTTCTAGATAGTGGGTGTGAGTTGGGGTAAGTACGAGACAGGTCGGTTGTCCGTAGAAGCGAAAACCAGCCTAGCCAACTTCTGTTCTCCCGAGGCACTGACGAGGGGCTTTTGCCTCAAGATCATTGGTCTCGTTGCTGGGCCTTCCCGATATGCGATTGAAAAGGTGGGTGTTTTTTTTTTTTTTTTTTACTTTTCTTTATTTTATTATATGTCTGTGTGTTTGTTTGTCTGTCTATTCTTCAATCCCTCTACTCTGCCTCTACCATGGAAAACTATATACGCTATGCAAACTCGATTTCATAATAATATCCACCCTCTGTGACTCAGATAATGACCTCTCCACAATATATTTTATTTATTGATTTTTCTCTTCTCTCTCTCTCTCTCTCTTCGTCAGGATTACCTCCCCGTGATCGTCGCCCACACCCCCGCCGGCGTCGCCACCAAGGTCCTCACGCAATACGCCCAGATGATCCTTGCCCGTGTGTAGCCTATTTCTTCTTTCTTTCTTTCGTTCTTTCTTTGTTTCTTTCTTCCTTTTCTTTCCTTTTTCTTCTTCTCTACCTTCCTTCATTTCTTTCTTGCATGCTTTCCTTTTTTCTTATTCTTATTCTTCTCCTCCTTCTTGTTCTTGTTCTTCTTTTTTTCCTTCTTTCTCTCTTTTTTTCCTTCTTTCTTTCTTTCCTTCTTTCTTTCTTTCTTCCTTTCTTTCTTTCTTTCTTTCTTTCTTTCTTTCTTTCGTTCTTTCTTCCTCTCTTTCCTCCTTTATTTATTTATTTCCTTCTTTCTTTTCTCTTTCCTTCTTTCCTTCTTTCTTTCCTTCTTTCTTTCTCTTTTTATTTCCTTACTTTATTTCCTTTTTTCTTTTTCTTCCCTCCTTATTTATTTATTGATTATTTATTTCCTTCTTTCTTTTTTCCTTTCCTTCTTTCTTTATTTCCTTCTTTCTTTCTTTCCTTCATCTTTCCTTCCTTCTTTCTTTCTCTCTTTACTTCTTTATTTATTTCCTTGTTTGTTTTCCTTCTTTCTTTTTTCTTTCTTTCCTACTTTCCTTCTTTCTTTCCTTCCTTCTTTCTTTTTCTTTCTTCCCTTCTTTCTTTCTTTCCTTCTTTCTTTCTTCTTTCTTTATCCTTCTTTTTTTCCTGCTTTCCTTCCTTCTTTCACTCTTTCTTCCCTTCTATCCTTCCTTTTTTTTTCTTTTCTTTCTTTCTTTCCTTATTTCTTTCCTACTTTCCTTTCTTTCCTTATTTTTTTTCTTTTCTTTCGTTCTTTTTGTTCTTTTTTCTTGTTCCTTTTCTTCTTCTTTTTCTTCTTCCTTTTCTTCTTCTTTTTCTTGTTCCTTTTCTTCTTTTTTCTTCTTTTTCTTCTTCTTTTTTTACTTCTTCTTTTTTTACTTCTTCTTATACTTATTCTCCTTCTCCTTCTCCTTCTCCTTCTCCTTCTCCTCCTTCTCCTTCTTCTTCTTCTTCTTCTTCTTCTTCTTCTTCTTCTTCTTCTTCTTCTTCTTCTTCTTCTTCTTCTTCTCTCTTCTCTCCTCCTCCTCCTCCTCCTACTTCTTCCTCCTCCTCCTCCTCCTCCTTCTTCCTCCTCTTTTTTCTTTGGTAGCTCTTGTTTTGGGACATAAGGAAGAAACGAAAGTATGATTCCCAAGTCTTGTTTGGTAAAGTTACGTTACGTTACGTTACGTTGTTATTGTTATTGTTTTTTTTTCATATTACTTAGTTTCTTCTTAGGTCGAAGTGAATACAAGAAATTACTATACGGATTTAAAAAAAAAACGTTTTCTGAGAGTTTAATTTGTTCCATTTCCGATTGATCTTTGACACTGTTTTTGTTTTCTGTATATGTTATTGTAGTCTTTCACTGTCTTCATAATCTGTTACCCGACTATTTCGGGGAGAAAAAATCAGGAACTGGTTTCTTTTACAGAGAAGTTTCAAGCGTTTGATTATGGTCCAACAAGAAACCTGGAAAAGTACGGGTCACTTACACCCCGCCAGTACTCATTGGAACGAGTCACCGTGCCCGTGGGGTTGTTTTGGTCCCAAGATGATTGGATCAACACTCCCCGCGTAAGTAATCTGCCTTTTTTTCGGTGTATCTTTTCTCATTGCCTTTATGATATACTGGAGAGCCATTCAGCCACACATGCACTTTGCACTTTAATTTTTTACATTATATATATATATATATATATTTTTGTTTGTATTATAACCCTGATGGAGCGTTTTGTCGTGCATTTATTCGTGCTGTTTTGACACGCAACTACAAGTGTTTTTAAACAGTTTTATAGCGTACTCTCATGCACGACTTCCTTGACTTCTCCAGGACGTAGCGCAGATTGCAGAGGAGCTTCCGCGCGTGATGCTGAACTACAAGGTTCCGCTGAGAGGGTTCAACCATCTAGATTTCCTCTGGTCTGAAGACGCCCGTCGCCTTGTTTACATCCCCTTTAGTGAAATTCTTAAAAACCTGAGATTAAAAAATAAATAAATAAAATTTCTGGTAAGGTTTGCATGAAATTTAGCTGGTGCCCTGAAGCCAGTCCAACGAAGGCACTCGGCTATTCCCATGCGAGTTTTTGTCCCGTCTAATGGTACCCCTTCGGCCCTTGACAGAGGTGATCTTTCGACCTTTTAGTGGTGTCTCGGGCCAAAAAAAGGTGTTCTCCGACATGTCAAATTAACAAGAACATTTAAGGTCGAATTACAGTAAATTCCAGCGTTATTCCAGACCTCTTAATTCCATTCTCTTCGCCCTTGGTGCTAAGGATGTGAACGACGTTAGGACCCTGGTTGTGGTGCCGACGTCTCAGAGGCTTTCAGAAACCGTTTCCCGGTGCAGAAAAGGTCCTTGAATTTAGATTAATGACCAAAAGCAGAATTGGCAACTTTGTTGTTGTAGTGGATCTATTTGTATGTATTTTGTATGAGTTTTGTCAAGTGTTCCTACTTACTTAGGGACGGTAGACAACTACTCTAGGAACCATTCAACGTACCCTCCAGAAGTTATTCAGATTTTAATACATATTTTCATTTTCACACCTCAAGTACTTACGTTATTGCATATCGTATTCGTTAATAGTTATTGTTTTACTGAATTTCAGCTAAATACTACTAAATTAATAGCCACATTTTTTTTTACTGTTATTATCCACTTAGAACTATGGTTGTTACACTTGCCTCGACTTCTATTTTTAATAAATATCTGCATTAGGCAGTAAATATATTTTACATTCCTCACGAATTTACTATGATGTACAAAAATTGTGTGTATGTATGTATGTATGTGTGTATAGATAGATAGATAGATAGATAGATAGATAGATAGATAGATAGAGAGAGAGAGATTGATTCACTGAGAGAGTGGGCGTGTGAGAGAAAGAGCGAGCGGGTGCGTGTGCGCGTGTGCGTGTGCGTGTGCGTGTGCGTGTGCGTGTGCGTGTGCGCGTGTGCGCGTGTGCGTGTGCGTGTGCGCGTGCGCGTGTGCGCGTGTGCGCGTGTGCGTGTGTGCGTGTGCGCGTGCGCGTGTGCGCGTGCGTGTGCGCGTGGGCGTGGGCGTGTGCGCGTGCGTGCGCGCGTGCGTGTGCGTGTGCGTGTGCGTGTGCGTGTGCGCGTGTGCGCGTGTGCGCGTGTGCGCGTGTGCGTGTGCGCGTGTGTGATGTTAAATGTTTCACTCTAATTGTTATTTGATACTTTCCCTGTGAAAGTTTCAATATATAGCTTTGTTTGTCCTCGTACTGCCAACCTTAATACTATTGTTTGACTGTTAAGTCTCAATTGTACAACAGAATAGTTTTCCATTATAATTAAAATACAAATTTTCACGGTTTGAAGTTTCGTGTCAGTGTGTTTCTTTCTTCCTTTATAAAGCCTGCCAAGGAAAAGTCTGAATATTTGTCCTAACTTCTAAGTATCCATTTCCGCTCATCTGTTGAAAATATATTGTACATTGTCTTTAATATAAAAGTGAGGAACTTATCAGAATATCACAAATTACAGTTCAGTTGTAGTTATTTTATTCATATATCAATGTCTTTGTCAAAGAATCATTGCTGTGGATACCACCATGATAATATTGATGTGCTTGTTTTGCGGTGGTTTCGGAAAATTAAGGTTTGGTGCTTCAACCTACATATTACAACCCTGACATACTCGAGACCCCACACACTACTCTCAATAGATGCTTAATGTGTTGAGAAACTGTCATCCGAAATGAAATCAAACTGAACTGAGCGGAAACGCGTCGACTGAAAAGATGAACCACACAGCTTTGCAGGAAAATGTGTTCTAGAACTGTGATTTTCAGCCTTTTTGAGATAATGGTTTATGAATTTCGCTCCAGTCTGACGTTTATATTACCTGAATGCTAAATGGAAGTAAAATAAATTAAGTCCTGTATTTATATTTCTTTTACCTATAAGAAAGTGACTGAAGTCTTCCAACAAACTGACATGCAGAGGTGTTAGGATCTTGAAATCTTGGGACCTTATCCCAGGCTAGAAATTCTTAAAGTATCCTTTGATAATTTCAGAGTGTAAGGAGTAAAAGGTATGAGAAACTTTTTTACCCGTACCAGGCTGGCTGGGTTTCACAGCTTAAAATCTGAGATCCTTTTTTTATTGCCTAGTTTGTAGATTTAGTCTAAAATGAGGGGGGTCCTACGTATATAAACTTAACGTTGATACTGATGCCGTTTGTTACGAATGGTTCTATACTTATTTACCTGTACCTTTTAAGCCGTTTCTTCTTCTTGTGTGGTCATTAGATTGATATATCACAAACCTTTACTCAACATTTTGAGCCGTTTTCATTTTCATTAAAACACCACGTGTATCTTTCTGCTTTAACAGAATATTACTTTCCATGCAGTTCCTAGCATAAAGACTGTTAACCCATTCGCGATGGGGAAAATGCTGGGCTAATTTTATATTTTTTGTGAAATGTCTCTACACATAGATGGCTCTGCCTTACCTGATTTCACTTTTCCTTGAATTGGCGGGAATATGTATTTTTTACTAGTGCTATGAATATCGATGGTGTTATTTTTATTATGAACATTATAATTACTATAATGTTATAAACATTAGTAACCGCAAAATAAGATAATGTAAAATATCCTCGTATATTAAAGAAAAGAGTAAACGGGTGAGACAGACAGTACTCGTAATTGGCTCATTCGTGTTTTAGTACAAGTGTAGCAATCTCTGTGTAAAAACAAGTAAACTCACAGTGGGCATGACACGGATACGAGTCTGCTACTTATTAGGACCTACTTTTTCCCAAAATACATAAATCTATTAATTAATATGATTTCGTTCTCTCTATTCTCTCTATAAAGTTTACCTACTCATGCAATGTATTTTTTTCCAGATGAGACATACATATTTGAAGTTTCTACTAATGCAATATTATCAGTTTAAGGTTTCATAATAAATTAAAGAAGTGTCTCATGCAAAAAAAGGTAAATGAAAAATCACGTAAACTTTGAAACATCCCACCTCGACATCATCTCTTTTTCCTATTTAAAAAATGCATACAATATGATTCTTTATAAGTGAGTTAATTCTGAATTTATTTCCACTGAGCCACTGAATGCCCATGTTTACGGATAGTCATTCCGCACTCTCACATTCAACACATTCTATTGTCAAAATAGATAGTAATATTACAGATTTTTCTTTTACTTGTCACTGACTTAATTACTTTTAAGACTTTTTTGTTGTATTTAGATTGTGTTCAGACATTGATCTACATTTTTATATTATCTTATAGCAACTTTTCAATAATCAACATGCAAAAAATATTAAATAAAACACAAAGTCATACTGACATGTTTTTACTTTTATTTAACTTATGTACTTAATCTTATAAATCATCTATACAGTTTTGATTTGCGTGGGTGTGGGAGCAAAGGGAGAGGCATGTGTAAATGAGGTGGGGGATGTTAGTGTCGTTTGTCGCGGGTAAGGGAGGTAGTACGCAAACCCTCACTCTTGGTGAAGTCTATTTGAGCATAACTGAGGGGTTCGTCTTCCTCCCCAACCGCAGGTTCTTGGAGACACACAGTATGAGGAACTCCAGCCCCACTTGTAGACCGGCGGCCAGCTAGCGGTGAAGGCATCACGCCCTCACAACGAGCTGGAGCTAAATCCAACGAGACATAATTTAGTCCGCAGTCTCCACTGCTGCAGCCACTACTGCTAGCTGTTGAAGTTGACTGCTGACTGGAAGAGGAAGAGGAGACGCTAGTGTGGGATGCAGAATCAACCGGCGTCTCCTGGGCCCGGCCTGACCCCCCAAGCCCACTCTCCCGCCGTCCAACACCCACATTAACCACAGTGCAGGTGGAAGATGCTGAAGAAAGACCACCTTCACTTAACGATGACACAGATGATACAGATGATACAGAACCTCTTAGGGTCGGAGATGTGGGCGGTGAATATGACACAGGTGATGAGCATGCTGATGCTGCCCGACCACTACTCCCTTGGCTCCCTGACCCAGCTCTTGGTTCTGACAATTGTTTTTTTACCCGCACCTCGCCACCTACTGCAGAACTCTCAGGGGCACCTGGGCCACTGTGACTCCGACATCTTTCACTCGTGGCACTACCTCCAGAGCTGCCTAAATTTAGCCGCTCCAAGGTGGCAGTGAGGCTGGCATCAGGACGGCCACCAAGGAGAGCTGAGGGAATGTCTGGTCGACGAGTTACTGTGCGAGGAGAAACAGGTTTCGGCGGGGTTTGTCCAGGGGTCATTAACAAATACCCACTTTCCCCACTACCACCATCGTTCTCTTCTCCATAATTACTGCCACTTAACCGCTTACTGTCACGACGATTCTGATCTCTAGAGCCTCCATATCCTAAACTGGGACTACTTTTTTCGCTAGATTCACCCTTCGATGTAAGACTGGTTTTCCTCTTAGGAGAAACCGTGCCTGGCATAGGGGCAGGCTGTGGTGGAATCAGAGAGGTGCTGAGTGGCTCTGGGCGACCTCCTGGGCACATGTTCACATACTCGCGCGGTTGCTGAGGGTCAGATGGAGCCTCAGGTGTCTTACATGCTGACATTGGAGAAACATTCATGTAGTCTGATGATACTGAGCTTGTGGATACTTTTCGTTGTTTATTCTCTACATTTAAATTCTTATCTGAGCTGCCAAGTGATAAGTTTACATATGCCCCCATATCATTGCTATTAATATTTGAATGTTGCTGCTGACTGTTGATAGAAATATCAGTGTTACCTGACTCTAAGCCTGTATTTTTCTGCTTTTCCTCCAGCTTAGTGTCTGCCTGAGATAACGTTTCAAATATCCCTGAAGTTCTCTTGCTACCCCCGTTGTTGTTAGTTTGTTTATTCTGCTGGTCACCACTATTAGGAACTGTCTGTGAGGATGAGGCGACGCTCGAGCTATCACCTGATATGGCACTCTCCTCTGCTTCTCTACTCGATTCTCTAATGCAACTTGTGCCGATGCCTGAGCTTACACTTGATGAGACCCCAGAACTTTCCTTTGCTGCTCCATCTTTACTACTATCCTTACTTTCACTTTTCTTGCGTGTTAGACTCGAAAATGGACTAGGCGTTCCTCGACTGGACTTAGGAAGTGGACTACTAGTAGGTGAAAGCGGGGTCTTAGGAGGGGTGCCTGAGGAATTCTTCCGACCTAGGAAGGTTGAGAGAGAGGATAAGGGACTTGTTCCTTTTTTGCTACTTTCCTGGGTATTCTCCCCATCGCTTCCCTTCCCCATTACTGCTATTGGGTCTGATTTCTTGCGTTTGGTGCTGTCCTTAAATGACTTTCTCTTACTGCTTTTCTTTTTCTTACTCTTCTCTCCATCAAGAGAATGGGAAGATTCAAAACTGCCACGGAGGTCAATGGGCATGTACTCGTCCTGCTGTGAAGAAAAGTCTTGGGAAGACAATGGATTAAATGTGGACGAAATCTTTCTGACTCTAGCACCAATGGAAGATGAGCTGTTGGAAGTTGTGGAGGACGAGGATACAGGTGTGAGAGGAAGCGTCCCCAGACCTTTGCCTTGACTCATGTCCACATAACCATCGTTTGGCCCTGAGGTACTCAGTGAGGAAACTAATCTGTCACTGCTTTTAGACATATCTAAGTATGGGTCATTTAAACCATGTCCCCTAAAGAAATCTTTGCTGTTCATCTCAAGGTATTCAGAGTTTGCAGAGGACTGACCACTGGAGACCGCAGGCCTCAAATTCATAGGCAAGTACCCAT